TAAAAGAGGACATGAAGWTTTTTTAACTTTTGAAATCCTTATGTAATAAAAATCATCCTTAGCTCCCCCTTTAATTCCTGTGAGCCCAAGCAATGCTGTAATTCCCTTGAAGCCTTCAAGTTTGTGATATATTCAAATAAAGCRTTCTTATTCTGAGATGTGCAGCTACTTGGGACTGTAAAAAGCTATCTTGACTTCTTAATTTTCCTCTTGCTTGTTCTCTGCCAAAAGGCAGCACCATTATCACTCACTCATGCATTAAAGTACATTTTTTAACAAAAAGAAATAACAGAAGGACTACAGTGGGAAAGGAGAGGCATCTGGAAAAATCAAACAATGTGAATTAATACWTTCTTTGTGGGCTGGAGGAAGCAATGGAGTCAAAGAAGGCCTTTGGATGTTATGTTTTACAATACCTCTGGAGGCCCAAGCCCCACCATAGGCTGTTTTCTTCCTGCCTCTGGACAAGCTGAAATTAACTGGTAATAACACACAATTAAAAGCGCATGTGTGTGTCGGTGAGGGGGTGTGTTACTTTGCTCTAATTCCACTCCTTCTGTGCATTTTAACTTTCAAACTTAGACAGCGGTGAAGAGGAGACAGACAGGTATACATAGCAGCCACATCAAAATCTTGGTGGGGCAGGGGGAACATTTGACACCTCCTTGTTTCAATGCCCCCTGTCTGTTTTTAATTTCACTAAATCGCTCCCGTCTGGGGATTGTATATTTTCAGTGGCCTCTCCCAGCAATGCAGAGGTGGAGCGTTAGTGTGCCAAACCCCAGCTATGCTCAGGCACAGGGCTGCAGATTTACAGGAGGCAAGAAGGGAGTCAGCTCATGGGACCAGCCATTCACCCAACTTAGGGCTAAAAAGTCCTCTCACACTGCAGCTTTGAAAATTTTAAGGTTTGTGTGTKGAAAGTCCCCTGTTATGAGGGGATGCTATGCTGCAGTTGCTGCTCCAGAYAACAAGGATTATGTTGGCTTGGGTAGGGGGTTTGCTTGGTTTTAAGAGGCAAGCAGAATCTGGTCCTGAGCACCTCCAAGGAAAGCAATGGCTTGTAAGGGYAATTTGAGGAGGATTTCACTGGAGAGCTGGAGGCACAGTGGAGCCTGGGCTCCCTGTCCTGTACCATGGAGTGGAGGTTTTGCTCCCGGCTTTGTTGAGAGAAAAGTTTGGGCCCAACACATAAAGCTTGTGCAATCTTGGGAGGAGTTGCCTCTTAACAAGGAAAGTGAGCAACAAGACAGCACTGAACAGGGAAAAAACAAGAGTTCCTTAGTCAGCTGAACTTCACTGTCATGGGGTACATGGGGTAGAACCCTACATCCTTCCTCCTGTGAGCATCTGTGACCTAAGCAATCCCCTCACAGGCACTGARTAACACACAGTCATTCAAATGCTTAAGCCTGAGCAGATCCCCTTCATATATATATATACATTCAGGTGTAAAGCAAAGACATTCCCTCTGGTATTAGACTGCACAACTCAAATGCCTTCATCTGCTTGTCAGTGGACAGGAGCATAGAACAAGGTTAGAGGGAAGCTCTGGTCAGACTCCAGGCTGGTGTAGCTGCTSGGAGGGATGCAGAACTCTGCCTCTAGGAGCCAGGGGGCTAAAATAACCCTCAAGAGAAAGCCAGCCAAGACACATCAGGAATTGCTTTGGCCCACTGCAGCTCATCCTGCAAGGAGCAGGATTTGGCTTCAATACAGTGAGGAAACCGAGGTGGTAATAGGGTGCTTTGAGAAATCCCATTGTGCCATTGCGTGGCYCTGAGGATGCAATGAATGACTTACACAATAAGCTGGTAAGAGCATGAAAAGATAAGATGCACTTCCACTAGAGCTTCATTACATGAAAGCACACGTCTTTGAGATCGGAAGGATTTTTTTTTCCTCCCCTTCACTCGCTGAGTTCTCTGAGAATTGAGCATTACAGTGGCTTTGACTGTAACCATTATAATAATTTTCCAGTGCTAATGTTGTGGTTTTAATGAAAGGAAACAGCAAATGGTGTATCGACTCATATACACAAATCTGCACTTCATTTGCACAAAATAGCTTCTGGATGGCTTTCCTCCATGTTTTTGGTTAAAGCCGCTCTTTTTGAGAAATGATCAATGTCTACACTGTTTGCTCTTCCACAGATAAAGCAGATGCTATTCATTACTGCCTTTGCCATGCATATATTGCTACTTTCCCCAAAGCAGCCACAGTGGGTCATGTGTTTGTTTTTCTTTAAATCCTTTTGTTCTTAAATCACTCCACTTTTGCTTTCAGGATATGATGAATGATTAATGCTGTAGTAGCAGCATTATTGAATTAGGAAAGTCGCTGGCAGCTTCCAAAATCATTGAGACAACCAACAAATAAATACAAGCCACTTCTTTAGAGTTAGATGTAGTGAAGCAGTGTGATGGTGTCAAGATAAGAGGCGAGGCTGATGTGAGTTCTTTTAAAGCGGTAGGACACACACTGTTGCTGACATGTAAATCATAGCAGCTCTGATAACAAAGCAGATGTTTTGAACAATTGGCRTTGGAGTAATGTAGCTGCAATAAGTAACAATGCTGAGGAAGACTCAGAACTGGTGTGGGTACTTGGAGGGAATTCTTTTGTGTAAGAAGTTATATGATCGTAAAGAAAAGAACTATTCATGGKTTTATGGTTTGGGCTTATTCAAAGAACAGAGATTTGGAGTCAGATGATGAAAGGCAGGTGCTCAGCACCTCACAGGGATTACAGCCAGCAGCATCAGCAACAACTCACCAGGAAAGGAGGGAGATTATAGGTTTCTGGACTAACCCTTTGCAATCACCACTGGTATAGCTGGTTTGCATGCAGAGTTAGCCTACTGTTTGTGGTGATACAAGACAAAGTAATGTGGTAACATTCCAGTTAAATGGGAGTTTGTGTGAAACAGGAAAGCAGGAATAAATTCCTTTTCCTACATTTATACACTGACGGTTTTCCACTGGCTTCCTGACAAGGCCCATCAKGTTTTGATGTGACCCTGTCTCTCATGCATGTCATCACAGCACCACGGTGGACAGAGCAGCCAGTGTGCCAGGCARCTACTTGCACAACTGAGCCTTTAAAACTTCTTTATGCAGAAGTGAAGGACTGAGAGACTGTGGAACCATGAGAAATAAACCCTAGCACCTCCAACTGCCTCAGTTTGCAATCTGAAAGGAAGAACCTCTGTGGGTATAATACTRCATGTTGTTTGACAGCAGTAATTACTATGGCTTTTCTCACCTGGGGCTGTTCCTGAGCACACTGCAGGAMTGCCTATTTGTTCTCCCTGCAGCTCTGTTTAGTATTTCTACAGATATCAAGAGACTCATGCTATTACTTCTGTGTACTYCTGAAAATAAAGGGCCTCTTTATGGAGTGCTATAGTGCTATATACTTTCCTGGCCTTAAAATCTTTTTTATTTTTCATTGACTTGTTCCTTATTAGAGCTGGGTACGAAAAATCATTTCCCTGCAGAGTGAAAGATCTCACAGTTTCAAGATGGTCTTACTGCTGTTCTACTTTGGGATGGTACAAAATCCTTTCAAATAGGGCCTGCTCTGAACTATCAATAGACAGAGATTAAGACTCTCACTGGACCTGTGGAAGAACTGGGTAAAAATATTTCTAATCAGAAAAACAAAATAAAATCTACTGTAGTTCAGGACCAGCTGAGTGTGCTGAAAGAGGGTGGGATGTTTTTGCTCATTTCTCTGGCTGAAACAGTTTCGCTATACACAAGTAATGACATGTCAGCCTGGGAAGAGTCCTGGACTTCCATCTGCTCCTCCCAGCATGGTGATGTAATTCCTGGACTACCAGCTCAGGATCTTTCACTCTTACCTAATGATTGTCTTGGCATCTATGCAAATTGGAGTATCTCCAAGAGGAGAAGCTTTCATTTTGAAGCAGACAGCAGCCCAGAACCTACCCAGACTGTGGGGTGCTAACTTCCATGTCCCTGGGTCATCTTAAGGAGATTATAGTCCTACATGTGGTCTGCTGTTTTGTATCTGAATATCCGATCCATAGAGTTCTGGCCGCCCAGAGGCAGCCAATGAAAGTCTCTTACTTGGASCAGAAACTCATTGAACTAACAATCATCCTCTCTTTGAAATTTCTGAGTTTGATAAATCAGCATTTTCTGATTTGAGGATTTCATTTCAAAGAGCTTCCAGCCATCCATGTTCCTTGCCACATTTACCTGTAGAGAGATTTTCAAAGGGTTCCTCTACCTACATTTTTCTAAGAAGTTTTTGTTAAGATGATTCGCGGAAAATTATTGAAGACTACTTCATCAGCCTTTCCACAGCACAGGCTCTGCCTTTGTTTTCACCACGCTTTTGGTCAGCTTGTATGTATGCTCATGTAGGTGTGACCCCAGGGAGTTCTCTCTCTTCATCCCCCACCACTCATAGCAAACAAATTGCTAAAATCCTTGACAGGAGTTACACACCACCAGCTGAGCWGTTGTACCTGAGGTATTAAAGGAGAAACTGGAGGTCCCTTCCCATCTGATGAAGTGCATGCAGAGGGTAGGGACTRTCATGGGCAGAGATGAACAACGACCTTGCTACCTTGAAAACCACAAAACGCATAAGAGAATCAATCAGAATCTTACCCCATAAGGGACCCATCCACCTTCCCTTTATTTCCTTCCCTCACATAGCAAAACTGATATCTGGAAGTTTCTGCTCTTCTTGTGCTTGTGTCAAAAAGAGGGAGGGCAGGAGCCCTGCTACAGCCAGCAGAGCTCAACCACATTCRCTCCTCCCTGCCCAGGCTCACTGCTGTTTCGATGCTCCAGCTAAAGAAAATCTGCAGGTTTTTTTTTGTCCTCRGAATGAAGCTTCCCACTGCTAGCCTTGGGAGATGCAGAACATCCYGGCTGGGCAAGAGCTCTTTATGGATATTTCTAGTGCTCAGAGGGAGAAGGGGAAAAAAAAATAAACTACAGCAAGTTTATGGTAATTGCTTTAATGAGGCAAAGCCCTTTAGAATGCAAACATGCTCAACAATACACAAAGAAACAATCAAAAAAAAGTGTTTTATACAGGCTGTTTTATAAGAAGGTAATAAAAGCAATTGTATGGCATACTCAGTTGCATAAACAGGCTCACCATGGAAGGTGTTTGTGTGAGAGCACAACTATGAATACTTAATTGCTTTCTTATTCTTATTTTCAGTACAAAATACTGCAATCAAAACTTAATCTGTGGCCTGATTTTTAAATAAAAATGTTATATTCCYGTTCCATTGTTGTAAATATAATAAAGCATGGTCGTTCTGTTAAATGGCATTTTATTTTTTGCACTTTGTAAAGTGGTATGTCTACATCCCTGGCAACTTCAAAATGTTTTTCAAATGCAGGATCATTATTTTWCTTCATATGGAAGACAGAAGACCAAAACGTTCAAAAGGTCCTCATTAATGATGTAACTGGAAGTCATGGAAACCTTTGGTGAGATCCTTCTATGGCTGCTAATTCTGTTTAAACAAAGCCCCAAAAGCAATGTAGATTTCAAATGTATTTTCATTCACAGAAACACAGTGAGTACAAAGGAAGAGTGTAAAGAAATATGAATTTGGGGACCTCAATAAGTTGCAAAGTACAAAACTGAAAAAATGTCACCGAATTTCCCTTGACTCTCAGAAGAGTAAATTACTCAGACAAAAGGCATGTATGAATCTGAATACAATCTGGTGCACCTGGAATGTTGCATTCTGCATCTGGTGCTTCTTTGTAAAAGTGTACTGTTACATTTGTGCCTCAGTGGCATCTAGACCAGAGTAATATTCAAATACTTAGACATTCAAATTCATTTTTATTTCATCTTGAATTTTTGCATTAGGAAGAAATACAGAGCCATCAAAAACCTGTTGTGCACATAAAATGGGTGATAGGTCTGAAAAGATTTAGGGAAYAAGACTGTCTTATACAAGAAAATTAATATCTGGATAAAAAAATATATTCATTCATGATTTGTACAGTAGAGACTGAGCACATTACTGAGAACTAACATAACAGARTAATATCAGAAAGACCAGAGTCACTCTCAGTGAAAACGGATGTCTCTAGGAAAAAAAGTGATTTCTGGTTTCAAACCGGCAGCAAAGAATTACTTTAAATTTTATATCTTAATTTACATATTTATTTAAAAGAATCTTCTATAGTATACAGAAAGAAGTAGCACTTTTTTAGTTCACTAGGCCTGTAAGAATTTCTGTCCTTGAAATTGTCTGACTGTTGGACTCCCTGTTAATGCTACAGAGCATCAGCCAAACTGGAAATGTCATTTTTATTTTACCTTTCTCATCATTACAGACAGCACAATGCTGTCAGGAATCCAGCAGGTACTATTAGATGTTTCCTTCTCACAATCTCATGATCACATTTTAATATGTTGCACTATTGATGCCCAAAAACTGTTCACATGAAGCAAAAAAGAACCAACAAAAAAAAAAAAATAATTGACAAAGCAGAAGGTCTCAATATGCCCTATCACAGGGAAAGTAATTTTTACACTTTCCATCTCTCTAGTAGAATTACTGGGCAGGAGAACAAAGGGCACTTAACTAAGTTGGTGAATATTTTAAACCACCTRTGAATTGCATGAAGAATGTAGACTTTCCTACAACCAAGCTCTGATCAACTTGCATGCCTTATGGCAAAATCAGACTTTCCAGGTACTTATTGGCAGGATGTACAAGGGGCCAAGAACTCCTAAACACTGACTGTTGACCTTCCAGCAATGTATCTTACCCTCTTGTCAGACATCAAAACCAAATTGTTTGCTGGCATCTATCAGTCTTCAGCAATTAAAGGCAAACAACTTAATGATGATAATCAAGACCAAACTTTTTCTCAGAAAGTAAATTGGTATCTGGGTTTGGATTATATATTACACAGGAAGATCTAGCGCATTAATCTGAATTTTTCAGAAGGAATCTATAGAATGCTTTCCTTTTATTATGTAATTCTTCAAGGATCAGAAAACAAGTCTGTACCCAGAAATCTAAACACACCAAGAGCATCTATAATACACTAGAGAAGTGAAATTGAAAATGCAAGTCAATCAGTCTGATGAGGTAGATGGATGTCTGGAATCATGTGAATGTTTGCTATCAACAGTCTTCAAGCTCAAGGAGCCTWGCAAGGGCACACTGAAAGTCAGTCACGAGGTAACATCTGCTTACAAGGACACGTGAAGAACAGCCAGGAACATTCTAAAAAGATGTGTGATATTAACCAGCCCCCAAAAATAATCAGAGAGGCTTGRTGAGATGCCACCACATTATTATCTGACTGATCCTAGGTGTATTGGCTGTAGGATCTGAAAGCACAGCTTTGCCAATTTTTTTTTTGTCATAGGGGAGTTTCAAATTTTCTTCCTCAATCCCTTGACAGAGGTCCCTCATTACAGAAATCAGGCTACAGTSAAGATAGTCACAGATAAATCACATACTCTTCTTTTGCGCCTCTCCTGCTTTGGTCTGCCCTTTTCTAATAGGAAGTTCWCTGCACTGGGAGCTCAGGTGAGTTCATCGTCTAGCAGAATATCCACTAAGCCACCTAATAATGGTCCATGATTATCTTGGAGAGGCCTCCATCTCTGCAAGCCAATGAACACCACCCTCATGGCAGGGCCTCCCAGGGGCATCTCCCCTGCCACAGCAGCCTTCCCATGTGCTGTGGAGACTGAGGACTGAGAGAAACGCAAATGACTCCACGTGCAAGCACACTGAGCAAGGTACTGACTGCAGGCTGCCTGCTTGGATGCTGCATTTTTATCAAGGGCCTCAAAATAGCAAGGATCAAAACAGAGACGGCAGCACACARAGTTTGGCTTGTTTTGCATTGCTGGTTACGTATGTTAGATAGTAAATGAGATACCTCTCTCTGGATGGGAAGCTGCAGTCAAACCAGGTTGCCTGGTTTGGCTCTGTGTGATGTAACACATTAGTGACCATATCTCAGTCACATGTAAGATGTCTCAACCTCACTGACRAGGTCTGCACTCTGATCAAGCCCATAGAAAGGGCTTTATAAAGCATTGTGATTCAAAGCTTTCGGAGGTGTAAYTGGGCACAGTAGCTACGGTCAAACCCCATTTCCAACAGCTCTTCCTCTTTACCTCAGTTTTAATCRCACTTGCACTAGTAAAGTTGCTTACTGAAGWAAAAAAAAAAAAGAAAAACTAGTTTCCTTAGAAGAAATATTGCCCAAGAGCAGTTTACATCATATGTTATCTGGAAGCTGTTCTGTGAAACATCGTAATAATTGCTTTTCCTGGACTGAGACGCTTATTAGTAGCAGCTAAAGTTAACAGATTGGAAGATTGCCTGAAGATGATGGATGGGTTTTCTCAGATAGTAGATTTCTGGTCATTTTCCACGGCAGCTGTAAATTAAAAAATAATATAAAGTTAAGCAGTGTTAGGATAGAAGTCACAAATACTACACAGCTAGTGACTTGATCATTAATCATCCTAAATTAATGTTAAAACGTTACTATGATGAGCCAAACTTTGCCCTGGGGTGTATGCAGAAGTTACTCATTGATTGCAAACGGGAAATGGCACATGTATGTGAACACTGAATTTAGCCAACTGCTTGTTTAGTTTGCAGAGGTTTTTAATTACTGCTTGAGGGAGGTGGAGATGTTTCTGTTTTAGGAATCCCTTTTCATAACAGTGATCTGGAAGAAAATTAGCAAGAGCCATCCTCTGATGTGCAGTCAATATCCCAAGTTAGTGTAAGAATATCTCTGTGTATTTTTAAAGRTGAAGACCATTAATTCCCTCTAGAATTCAGGAGTCATTTAATCTGTCTGATGTTCACTTCTARGTTTGCTGCAGTCAAAAAATAATTTATTTTTGGACAGAATTAATATTTTTGTCCACAGCTGAAATTCCTGCTAAGTTAAACCACCATTCTTTGTAGACTTTGTCCTAATTTACCCAGGTATTTTTGATTAAGTTACGTGTCTTCTTCAGACAAAGAGAAGGTGCCAGAGAAATACATGTTGAAAAAATTCAAACCACAACAATAAAATATGATGCAAATGAAGAAGTYTTGCACTCAAGAGAYACCARTAATGATTCCTTACCTCTGCAGAATCTGGAGGTTAGAAAACCTATAATGGCCAYGGCAAGGCCATGGAGATACACAGACCTTTATCTTGTGAACATCTGACTCCTCTCAGCTTCTTTTGCACTGTTATATAACTGCTTAGACACATTTATTTTATACATGCTGTCAGCATTAATGTATATTAGCTATAGGACATTACTTAGTCCTGTATTTTCAGACTATATTCAGACTTTAGGTACAAACACTCCACAGCAGTTGCATTGAAAACAATTTAACTTGAATGCCAACCACAGARTACTGTTAGCAGCAGGTTTTCTCAGGGTGATTTACTTCTGTTTATCCACAGGGTTTGGTAATAAATACATTTATTTCGGGACCCTAGGTACATTAAACATACTGAATAGTCAGAGCTTGTAGAAGCTAATTTCTCTGTCACTGCATTATAGCTAAATTGGTTGTGCACGTCTCATTCAATTATGCAACTTGAAGAATACCAACAACACAGATTCTTGATTTCAATAGTGCACATGCYTGTTTTAGCGCTTACAATGGATCAGCTTTTAGCATGAGACACTAAAATCATCATGCTTTGAATTTCAGAGTCACAATTTCAAAGGTAATACTGTCTTTGTGTGTGTGTCATTAATGGCTTTTCTTTTGCTTCTTTCTGGATATATACTGTAATATTCAGCASAAATCAAAATGAAGACTGGAAGGTAACTCACAATGGATGTATGCAGTTATGCATTTACACCATCAAATTCTTTACTGATATCAGCTTAGTCAAGTAGTTATTCAACCAGTAACAAAATGTGCACAATAGTCAAATAAAGTATTTGCTGTTAAATCCTCACGCAGAGAAAGTGCCAAATGTACTACCAAGTCTCTTCAGTGGGACTTCTTTAGTGGTCATTGTTCTRTGTGGAAGGCACTCTGCTACTACAGAAGCACAGAAGGAACAAGGAGAAAGGAAGGGTTAAATTTGTATCCACAGGAACTGACATACTATTATGATTCTAGTATTTTATAATAGAAAAAAAAATACATGTCAAAGAAATTAAAAACTGTCTGACAGATCTCAAAAAAATAGACATCAGCTGGAATTTGCAGTTGAATGGATGTTCCCAATGTTCTTTTGAGTTCTGTACAAGGCTTCATGTCTTCTAGTAACTTCACCAATGGCCTTGTAAAAATATCCCTAAATACAACCTCTGAATGACATGAGTTTGGCAGGATGGTATACAATGATGAAAACTGGGCARTCAAACAGAAACCAGGAATGGTAAAGGAAAGAACCACAAAGTTTTTCAAGTAAGAATTCCTTGCAGTTAACAAAAATCAAACTAAAAAATAAAGAATTCCATGTTGATTTTGTCAGGACGAAGATGAGAAGACATTAGTTGTTCACAGAAGTTGYTCACAGCAGGAAAATACCAAGTTAAAAAGAACTTTTCCATCTAGCAGGCACACCAAGGGCTGGAAACCTAAGCCAGACAGACTGAAAGTAAAGCACCTTTCTAAGAATAAAGGTGATCATGAGTTGGAAAAAAATTTACCATATACATTTTATATGGTCTCTTAAGGCCAAGAGGAATATATGCTTCAGCCAAAACTAGACTTGTTTTATTTAATGTAAGAAGAGATAGTGATCATATTTTATGAGTATAAATAYATGCAAATTTACCAGAGTCAGCATTTTCTGATCTGCCTGTGGTATGTCCCATTAAGAAAACTGCTTATTGAGATCTGCCTTCTAAACAGATGGATTATCATTGTTTAATCTTAAGGGATATAATGAAATAAAAACTTTATCAAACATTTAGAAAGTTTAGTACTGTCTAAAATACAACTTGTCTTGCAACACTGCAAGTTGCTGGAGACAGAAGCCCTTAATTTTTGCATGAAAACCTGAGGTAAAGTAGAGTGAAGAAATGGAATTCATTTTGGTTTCCCAAATCTTGATAGACTGATCAGGAAAATATATGGTTCCAACTACATGTGTGCCCCAGTATTATTTCAAAAATAATCAGGATCATAATATATCTTCAGATACTTTTTGCTTCTATCAAATAACAATTAATAGCTGTTGCATCATCTCTTCTTCCTATTTTGTAGCATATTATATCTTCCAGAAACTTGCTAGGCCAGTGACATTAGTGAAAACAGAGAATAAATCCATTCCAAACAATGTGAGTAAAAGCAGAATCTGTCTGTTTGCTTTTGCATGGTTAGAACAAAAAACTCCATTGCTGCTTTTACAGCTAAAGAGCATTTTATAATGAGCTCTGAAATTTTTGGGAAAGTCAGATTACAATGTTGGTTTAACATCAGACAGTCCATTGTTTAGATGTAGGATCACTGTGATGTCCGGTCTCTGAAAACTTTAGTTTTCCTTTTGATATTAAAAAGACCAGTGAAGTAATCCACAAAGAGTTCAGGCCTCAGGAAAGAAGTCTGAAAAACAAACACTGTTAAAGATCGGTAAGACACGATTATGTGGCTGACAATTACATGTGATAACAATTAAAATTATCTGATTCCAACCACATGGCATCTTAATACAGCAGATCTCCAAGTAAATAACATGTCACATAATAGGTTTTGATTGATGTTGTCAGCAGCCTTTTGAATGTTACAGATACCTTCCCATCAATGCCTAAGAAATCAGTGGAGACTGCTGACCTCMTCCTAACCCAAAATTATTTGCATGTACCTAAATACCCTAGTTCTAACTGCTTGGTAACCTAAAAATCTTCTTTTACTAGATAATTAGAAACTTGTACACGGTGTCCAGCTCCTTACTTCCATCTGTAAATAACTTAGCTAATATATGCGCTTGTGGTTTTAATGACATCCCTAGATGTTTTCTGGGAGGTCTTACAGTTACCTGCCAGTACAGACCTGGGAACATACATCTGATTGCAAGCCAGCTGGAGCAYGCCAAACAATTGCTGAAGTCCATGGCTTGGCTGGCACAGGCGACCTAACCAGGGAGAGAAAGGGGCTGCCAAGGAGCTGCCACTGAGCAGCATGAGGTTACTTTGCTGCCAGCTTTAATTTGCGTTAAAAAAATAGGGATGAGTTAATGATTGCTAAACCAACAAATCATCCTCCTATTGGAGGAGCCCCAGAGGACATTCTGTCTCCAGYGGTGATGTACCCAGTAAGAAAACACATTGTCACATTGCCTAGAACGGGCATACAAAAAGCAGAGGGGATCAGAGCAGGAATTTGGAGTATTTTCATGGTGCCAGTCTCCACACATGTTCTTGGCTTAGTCTCATGCTCCTTATTTTCCTCTAGACCAGCCTAAAAGCTACTCTTCAGATCTGTGATGCAAGTTTTATTGTTTCCTTCTGTATACTGTTAAGTGAGAAGTGAAACAAAATGTCTTAAAAATGAATTGAGGAATAATACCATACATTTGTTAGAAGGACAGTTTTTGCTACCATTGTTATTTTTAAAAAACAACTTTTTCTACTTTGGCATCTAAATCAGGATTTCAACATCACAGCTGGAAAAGCAGCTGTCTTTTCTAACCAGGGCTGCCACAAACACAGCTCTCCCACTGTAGGCTGTTGAGTCACCAGTTTGTTGAGAATGAAGCTTTAGTTAAGATATTACAACAGTTTAGAAGGTGATGTTCAAGGTGAGCAAAAGCCATATGACTTATTCACATCAGTTTCACTGGTCTGACAAAGCAAGTTACRCTGCCACGATGCAAGATCCTGCCTGGGATATAAATATTTTGGGGTTTTAACCAGTGTCTTGTAATTTTCCCAATTCTTTATACCAGATCACACTAACAAGAAAGAAAAATCTGTAGCAACAAAACTCATGAGCAGACAATGGAACTCAGCAGTTATACTCAACACCTCAGTCATAAAAAGTGTTTCTGTCCTGAGCAAGGGTTCAACAGTGTTTGCCACAGCTTTCTCTAAATGGCTTTYCCAGTAACCAACAGTCATTTGCACYATGGATGTCCTTGTACTGTGAAGGAAACACACTGGGTTTCCARTAATAAGRAGAGGASAATTATCYACATGGTCCATGTTAAATTAGAATTACATACTGCTCCTCTGTAAGGAAGATTACATTTGCTGTAGTTATGTACCAAAACTGTTAGCACCTTGGGAGGGCAGGGTCCCAGAACAGTGAAGCATCTGTTTGTTGAAGGGCACCAAACATATGAAAACTGTCCATGTTCATACCTTTAAACTTTCAAACTACTCAGACAACAACATTCCTTGCCCTGAATGCAGAGAATGCTCCAAAAAATCAAGTCACATGATACTTAGACTTTACAGA